AGACAGGAGCAGTTCTCTCTGTGCCCAGCTGTCCTCCTGTCTGTGCTCCTGCACTCTGAAGATGCCGGTCACAGGTGCTGGCGAAACGTTAGGAAACAAAACTTCAAGACCACGGCCACACAGCCCGGAAGACCCACACCAGCCATCGTATGCCGGCCGTGAAAGCCTTCGACAATACAAGGATCAATCTGTTTGACATTATTTTAAGAGGCATAGAAATCTTCTTTTTTTCAACTTCCAACTTCTTCCTCACATATATTGTTCCATCTCTTGCAATTCTCCATTTCTGTCAGGCTCATGTCCAGGTATAGTAGATATGCTGGGGTTTGACAGAAATAGAGATTTAGCTCAACTCTGCCCCCCCCCCAACCAAATATCTGAGGAAGTGTTTAATGAATGAACAGCAGTAATTTAATTTCATTCAAAGCATCAGGATTCAGGGTCATACATCAAAACTCATGCTGTAGGACATGCACAAGGACATTCTTTTTTATTTATAATTGACATACAGGTTTATCAAAGTTAAAAGTATTCTAGGCTAGATGTATTTTAAATAAATTCACAGAAAAAAATCCAATAGTACCATTAATCATGATCACTCACAACAGAATCTTCATTTTAAGAAGCATCAAACCTCTGATTATCAAATGTATGGCCCAAAAAATAATAGAGTGGCAAGTACTGGACTTTAGCTGGCAAGTACTGGACACAAAGTTCAGGATGTGATGGTCACAAGAACCAATTTTGATGGCTTAATTCTTGCATCTGATTAATATATTAATCACACTTACAGAGCATAAAATGCAAACTGATTTTCACTATGCTTACTTTTGCATTTAGTGCTAGACTAATGTCTTGCAAGCTTAGGTAAGTGATGTGTTGTTCTCTGTCAGGTACTAATTAAAACTGAAATCCAATTAAAGTTTAAGAACATATATATGACACAAATATTTTCACTGGTCTTGCTAAGTACTTGCAAGATAACATTGGTGTTTAAGGCCACTAGATCTTGGTTACAAAAATCTGAAAGACCACTAGAGGGAAGGAAGACCTAAAGAAAATTCTTAATCTTTACTGCCATTATCTGGTAGTGCTAGTGGTGTTGAAATGACTGAAGCTCCAAAAATTAGGAAGAAATTATGAAGAATGTAATTTTAATTTTTACTTAAAGACTTGAAGTATGTTTATATATTCACAATATGCTTATGTATTCAATATTAAAATGTCATTTTTAGGTTTATGTAACAGTAGGTATGGCTACGTGAAATGAAGCTGTGCATATTGAAGGCTATGGCCAAACTTCAAAGTGACCACTTCACTGGCCTTCAATGATCAACAGCGTCCATAAAGAAGGCAATCCTGTTGGCTCTACCAGGGAAATGGACAGCAGAACTGTATGTTTCCACTTCTATTCCATTCCATCATTTCACATAGGCCTACTTAACAACCCTTTCTTTATCAGTTTTATTGGCTACAGAAGAGTTCCCTGATTGTTCTACCAGAAAGACATATTTGAAATGTTGAGAACATTTTGTAGATGTTATGGTTTCCTAGAGGGGTATCCCTGGATATTCACTGAATGGCTACCAAGGTGGTATGGCCAGGTGCAAAATAAATCCAGAGGAGCAGAGAATCTTTAGGGCAACATAGTGTCATGTGCACATTAGTGACTCAGGCACCGCAACAAGGATTCCAAGTTGATGGACCCTGATGAAATGCTTGAAGCCGAATAATTTAATATCCACGAATAAGATAAATATGAAGGATAGAATCCACTGTGACTTCCTAAGAGTGGGAATAGTTTCCATTTACAGAATGGGAAGGGATGATTCTACTTTTCCCCCTGAAGCTTCCCATATCCATCAAAACAGGCTTCACATGGAGGAAGATCCTGTAGTGAAGAATATGAATATGTTACAGGAGAAAGGGGTGTGTTCTCCATTAGCTCTCACCATTTTGGCATTGTTTCTGGGCAAATCCTTCAGACTCACTATTGTCTACTATAATCAAAGAATGATGAATATCAAGTGTCATGCAAAAATAAAAAATAAACACTGTAAATTCCATAAGTAGACTTTTTAATACAGAATTTAATTAGCTATCTTATATCATTTCAAATGTATGAGGTATAAAACAGGCATTTACCATTTTAATGAAGGAATAACTGCTTAACAATGATGTTTTTTGTTTGTCAATATTAGAATGGCTGGATTTGCAATATTTACTGATTTTCTATTATCAATAGAATATTTATTTAAAGACAAATATTGTTGATATATTCTTTCAGCATTTGTATTTTACCTGACGATTCAGTGTCTTCAACAGAAACATCACTGAGTTTAAAATCCAGTGTAAAACTTCTGTAAGCAAATTCATAGTTGGGAGCAATATTCCCTAATATTTGTTTCATCAAATGCCAAAAAGCATTATTGAAAGCCTAAATATATAAAAATAAACATCAGCAAATTGTTTAAAACAAATATTGGTATACTTCCTATATATTATTTTTATAGCCAAGGAAACAGACCATTATATATTACACACACACACACATACACACACAAATAAATAAATAATACGGTCTGTTTATATAACATTATATTGTATAAACGGACCATATATATATCAGAAAAAACATAGTAATAAAAACAAATCAGTCTATTTATTTGGGAACTAGCTTTCATTGCCATGGTATAAATGGGTTATTCTTACTACATGAGATTTGATTTGATATTATTCATTTGTACCAACAGAAGAGAATATATGTAGTTCAGGATCAAGATCATGATGATGATGTTACCTAGTCAGATAATGAAACATGTCCAATCAAACAACCAAGCTCAGAGAGCACCAAGAACTCCACATTATCCATTTGTGTTCACAAGATCATGTAAAACATATTTATTCACAGCACCAGATGTATTTATCTAATCACAATATATTGGTTTAATGGAGACAAAATTCACACCATCTCAGAGACTTGTAAAAATTTGGTGCTGGTTTGAGAGCATATCTGGGAATAAGACAGCAATGGATCCTATAGATTCCCTGCCTGTAAAATTCAAGGTCTTGTCACCTGAGAAGCAACAGCTGCAAAGCTCTCTGCAGGTACTGGGAACTGAGATCAGAACTCCACCCTCAGAAGAGAGAATTTACATATCCTATGGCTTTAGGAACCAAAAATTTGCAGCCTGAAAAGTCTAAATATTAGCTGAGAGTAAAACATCTGGTTCTATGACCCTCTGTTCCAGAGACCAAGAGCATGGAAAACATGATAAAGTTGACTTAGAATCCTATTAGATAATTTTTAACCGGTATTTTTGTCAGCATTGAAAAATGCCTAGACTTTTCAAATTATCCTGAATATAATTAATGGGAGCATATTTTCTTAAATGTATGAATTAGATAATAGACTGCATTAAGACACAATAACTGAAAGAACACATACAAGTTACTCTACACATTAACAGAAGGTTAGGTACTCTTTTTTTTTTTTTACCTTAAAATGTTCTCTAGCGATTCCTGTGTCACAAAGGCCAGGGGGGCAATGTGTTAATTCCAGGACTTTCATGGCTTTGGGAAGATTTTCTGCATTCCCAAAATTAATTAATACATTTCCAATAGCTTTCATGATAGCTGCTGCTTGTTCCATAAACCGGTAGCTCTCCTGAGGGAGGGAAAGAAATAGTTTACCTGCCGATAATTAAGAACTATTTGAAGTATATTCATACTCCAACAGTATACGTAGTATACACTAATTTATAATGGGAGCTTATCAGTACTTTCAATCAGTGACATCATCAAAATAAATCATCAAAACCCACTGGTGTGGGTGTCATCAGGTCATGACCCCACGAATATGATGTGTTATCTAATCCCATCAAGAAAAGGCTGCATGTCAGATCTAAAGTTAATGATTAATATAATCCTCTCCTTGATTGCATTGACTTATGGTGACCCTATGGTGTGACACTACTAAAAGCCTATATTTTCAAGCAAGTCGTATTTTGTGCACATTTGCAATAAAAGTGCAATAAAGAAAGCCCTAATAAAGTCTTATATTTGTTGAGGTTTTAAAATCAGCATCTTAAGTGCAGGCAAAAAGAATTTTTTAAGGTAAAGCCTGGTAAAGATATGTATTTTGCGAAGTTTCCCATCATAGGGTGAGTATCACAGCAATATTTTGTGATTATACAAATGCCTTCCAAATTCCTATTTTAAAATGAGACATCAAAACACTTTTGGCTGTGTATTTTCCTCAGATGCAGACTTATGTATTTTATACTCTGGACTTAATAAAATCATACAGAACTATACACATTAGTTCCCTTATCTCAAATGGAAGCTTTTACTCCCCCTGCCCTCTCACCCCAACCTACTTGTAACTGAATGAATGAATGAATGGATGGATGGATTGCTATATTCATAACATGTTAGGGCAGAAAACACAAAATATTTTGATGAACCTGATAAACAATGGATATGTATTTCATTTTTTAAACTCATTTGTCTACTATACCCTTAATTCTTCCAGATGCTTTTGCATACATAAGTTTGTCTATGGATGTCCTACAATGAGAGTGTAACAATTAGTTATCACTGACTGACTGCCAGTTCAGTGACCATTCAAAGTTATGATGGCACTGAAAAATATTTATGACCGGTCTTCAAACCAGTGGCCACAATTAAAAAAATTGGATGCTTTATTTTTCAAAGCCAAGTATAGAGATTAAAAACAAAAACAGGGACTATAAATAAAATGAAAAAGGAAACAAAGAAACAAAAAAGAGAACATTATAAAATAAATAATAGTCAACAAGAACACAAATCTAGTTACTATGGTAACAAATACCTTGTCAAGATTTGGCAGAACAATATCCTCTTCACCAAATACACATGGCACCATACTACACAGATGGACATTGTGTCCTATGGGAGAACTTGCAGTAAAAAGTAACACATGGCGGCTACATTTAAAAAAGAAACACAAAAAAGTAATGAAATAATCCAAATGTAAGAGTCATTCTAAATGTTCATAATGCAAATAAAATAATTTCATCTATTATTTGTTTACATTTAAGTGGATATAAAAATTCATAGACTGAAATCAGCTATGTATGGAAATATGCTAAAGCATATTAGCATTTCATTTAACTGGCAAATAAAACTATTGGTTATGTTGCAAACTACATTTGCATAGCAATGTAAATGTAATGCCTAACAAAAAGTCATTCTGGTAGTTTAATGCAGTAGCTAACATTGTGAGATGGATTCAAATCTTACGCAGTACATTTAAGCAAGACATTTTTTTCTTAATCTCATATTTTTATTTACATGTAAATAAAACACTACATAGTGCTTGTTGCAGTCCAGACACGCAGAAGACTGGCAGAGTGCACCCATGAACATTAACTAGCAGTCAGAAGACATGATGAAAACTCCTTAATCTCACACACGTGGACAGATATAACCATAATTTTAACTGGGAAACTGTCGGCTTTTTAGACCAAGCTAAATCCAAAAATGCAAGGGAATT